ATGCATCACGCGCAGGCCATGTCCACCCCAACTCTGCAAAGGGAAAAAAAACATTGTGAAACATCACGTAACGGCAATGTGGCGCTGCGAGTTTGATACCCGTGTGGTAAGGTATCTTAGAAAAAAGAAAAAGAGAAATATTGGTGCTTAACTTCTCTGTTTACATAAAGGGGATTTAGTTACTCAGCATGAGCCTGAACCCTATCAGGACGTTATGTGTCTATCAAAGGTTTTTTTCCAAAGGCATCTCACATCTTGTTGAAGTAAGACTAGTTATTTTACAATTTTACTTGGTTGAGCATACTAAACGCAGACCAAAGACCTGCACAGAGGTAGGTTTTATAAAAGAACATACAAAAAAAGTACATTTAATATTTGCAAGAAAAAAAATTGAAATTACGATGATTTTGCAAGTTATTAGCAAAGTCCTTATGAAAGTGTACTAAAAACACTGGAGAGTTTATTTCTCTTGATTATCAGTTATCAAGAGGACAATAGGGAGAATAGACAAATGGAAAGCAAAAATGCAATATATAACAAGTGTGGCAGCTTGTCTATATGGAGAAAGGTGACTACTGAAAATGTGGGAATAATATATTAATTTAGTATTAAATTTGAAGAAAGCACAGCCTTTGTCCTCTTGGTTATTCAGGCAACATAATTAACTGTTCAAAAGGAAATTATAATACAATAATAGCAAAGAACTGCTGTTCTTAAACTAAACTGTATGTGATTTTCTCTAAGTAAATACATTCCTAGAATAGAATATATTTTCAGTACAGAATTGAAAGAAGCAAGGCACTTTTATATCGAGAAAGCTATCATTTTGTTTGGGTATAATCCATTATAGCAAAAATGTCACCCCTAATGGTTTGAAATTACGCATTTCAGATACTTTATAGTGCAGTTCCCCTTTGGAACAGAATATTTTGTAGCAATTATTTTTTCAACAATATTCAATAAGCACATGCCAAATTGATAATTATTCTGGCAAGTAGTAGAAAGTAATGTGACTTCTTTAGAGCCAGAGTGCCTTCAGTTCTAATACATGTATACACGCATATATATTCTACATAATATTACTTCATTAGTGGGGAGGGCCCAAACAATTGTATAGTAAATGTCAGACTGATTTCGTATTAGATTTTGTAAAAGCTATACTATAGCAAGTGATGTATCATCACACATGGTCTTATTATGATTATGCCATAAAGTCATTGGTGACTTAGCAATCACATAGATTTTATCCATGATGTTGTCTCTATTGGAATTAATAAGATACTTTTTTAAAAAAATACTAGGTAAATAATGATACTGAGCAATTTTACATGTTGCAGACTGGCTTGGCAAGTAATCTCTTCATTTCCCTATTTCTGCTCTTGAAGAGGTAATATCCAGCAGTGTCCATAAGACCTTCTCAGAAAAAGATATGGAGAATCTCTAAGTAGGCTAAATCCATTCTGTCCCTTATTCATTATCCACAGTAGCCAGTTTTTAAATCATTATTTACTGTTTGACTATCATTTAAGTAACAATTTAAGGAAGGAAACTACCATTGTTTTTTGCATATGCATTTTCCTTCTAATTAGTTAATTGCTTTAAGTTATGTTTGAATAAAGGAAAAAACCCTTTTAATTTTGTGTATTTATCTGAAACTCTAGATGAGAGTCCTAAAAAGTTTGGGCTCTTAAATATTAATATAACAATTACTCCCATGAAGTAAAGTTGGCATGTTTAGATAACCATGTCCAACTTGGAATAAAGATTATAAGATTTTCTTTTGTTTTAGACATGAATGTTCACTCTGATGGCTGACAAGACCTTGCTAAAACCTTTCAAAGTTTGAGTGCCAATGAAATGCTAAATGTACTACTAAACATGATCAGAGTACCATGTAGATAGAATGTTGGGTAGAATGTGGAAAATAAAATACCACTCATGCTACGAACGGAATGGGACAATTTGCTGCAGCCAACTCGCCATGGCTAACTTGCTGCGGGACAACTTGCCGTATGACAATTTAACAATTAAACTTATTTAAAATAAATAAAGTGTTTTAATTTTTGTCATTTACATTTCATTTTGTTCCTCCTTTTGCATCCTTTCTTTAAAGATTCTATTCCACAATTTCTTTGATATTAGTGTAACTCTTGCCCCACAGCGAGTTGGCTGTGGTGAGTTGGTGTGGTAGGTTGCCCATGGCAAATTGTCATAGACCCTGCTATGAAATATATGAATGGTCTGAGTAAAATGAAAAATGCCTCTGTATTTCTGTTTTCAGATTTTTCAACAGTACAACACAATGTTTGGATTAATCAGTCATTTCCTAGTGCTTAAGTCAAAAGGGGCACTTTTTCTTTGAAGCTGAGAAATGGCTGAAAAAGAGAAGGAATAGCAAATTAGGCTAACAAGATAATTATCTGTTTAACTGGATTGTTTCATATTTTTCCCCTTCCAAATGAAAAGTGCTTCAGGAAGAAAGAGAAATTCAGCTTTCTAAACAGTGCAAAGAAATGGACGTATGTGAACATCCCAGCATATAAACATTCACAGCAATCTTTGGGTGAGGATTGCACATCCTCTGTACTCACTGAGGCTAGGCAGAATTCCCTTCTATTTCTTAAAATCTTTATTTGAAAGGCCACGAGTATTTATTATGGCTGTATGATGTTCCGTTGTGTCATTATACTTTGTTATGTCTTCATGGTAACTGAACACATTTCAAAGATTTCCTAGTTCTTTCTATTTGTGTTTTTTCTTCTTCAGAAAAATCTAAATTCCAATATTATTACATCATTTATTGCCATGGAAACTTGTGGAAGAATGGTGATATGACCTATCTATTCATGAAAAGATTTATACACAGTTGTGATATAATTTACTGGTTAATCACTAGTTACCTAAAAAAAAACCTAATAAAATAATTATAGAATATGGTCATGCGAAAAATAACCAGAATAGAAAAATATTAAAATGCTAATAAAATGTAACTCTTGAATAGGACAGTGTAATGAAAGAATATGGGCATGTCTGGTCTATGTGCATATGTTTTATGTACAGTAATCCATCTTCTAGAGATTACTTGCACAATAGCAGGATAGTACTGTTTTTCCTTACAAAATATTTCCAGATCCTCATCTTTCATTGAGTACTGACTGTTGGTTCCCCAAAAGTGCATTTTTTAGTCATAAGCATGAGATCATGTCTATCTTCACCATATAGTTTTAATTTTTGTTTTGTTGTAGCTGTATTTCACATTGTTTTTTTTTTATAACAAAACCATTTTCTAGTTGGATAGCCACCATCCTGATTACAATTCTTTATCTTTCTAGGATTTCCTTCTTGATAAAAACCCTAGAAGTGGATTATCTAAACCCATTTATTTGGATTTTGGGCTGGGACTCAGTGCAGAGATAGCCCCCATTACACTTATAGATGGCCTATATAAATGACTTATGGCAGGATAGCATTTCCCAATTCAAGAATCATATGCAATCTGGGAGTGTGGACTTATAGCTCTTGCTCAATCATTAGATATCAAATGTGGCCAGGAAGGCTTTTCCATTGCTTCATCTGGTACAGTTGTATTGTTTCCTAGATTGGAAAGCCTTTCACATAGTCACTCATCTCTGACTAGAGATGAGTTCTACATGCCGGTGTCCTCGAAGACCACTTGAAAGCTCAACTGGTTCATAATCATTGTGGACAGTGAACTGAACAGAAAATTTACTTCTGGGTCCATTTCAAGGTGCTGTGTATGACCTATAAAACCCCATCTGGCATAGTTATTGGTTATTTGAGGGATTACCTGTTTCTTACGGTGTTGGCCTACCTCTCCAGGTTCCTTCAATTAAGTGATGCCACTGGGACCTGGAAATGTGCCTTCTTTGCTAAAGTGCCTGTCCTGGGAATGAGGCTTTCCCTGATCTCTAGGTGGCTCTCACTCTAATGAATTCTAGAGGACTTGATTCTATTCTCAGGATCTGGCCTAGGGTGCTGGACTTAATTGTCTAGTGTTGTATATATTTTGTTATGCTGACTGGATTTGCTCACTTGTTTAATATGGTATATTTTCTGTTTTTTGATTATGCTATTTGCTATTTTGTTTTCATGATGATTTCATTGTCAATTTGGAGTTGAGGTCTGACTTAATTCAAATACATATAAATGAGATATTTTTCAGTCATAGTAGGCCCATAGTACTTTGAAGACAATTCTGGATGTGGAAATTCATTCAGATTTCATTCAGGCCTTGTCCTGGTATCTTGTCCTCCATGCTGTTTTATAGCCAGGAAGTAGTTCTGCTCTGGCTTTACACATGTTTCTTCTATTTTATTCTAGGAAAGAAATCTGTGGAAGTCCTGAATAAGACTAGAAGCAGAACATATTGAAAGTATTTGGGAAAAATATATTTCCTTTAATAAGGAATCAGTAACAGTTTTGATTTTAGATCATCTTAGAAGGGTAACTAAAAGCAACGTAGCTTTTGTTTTAAGTACTGTAGCTGTACTATTATCTTTTTAGAGACAGTTTGTCTTGCTGGTTATACATATTTTTTTTACTTTAAAATTAATCTAGAACCAGTGCGGTAAATTTTGTAATATGCAAAATTTAAGCAGATAAAAAATATAGTATCAAAATGTTGGAGAGGAGTTTTGATTGAAGAAGCATCACATGTCCCAATTACAAGATTTCATTTAGCAGAAGAATCCTTTCACATATTAGTTTTGTCAGTGAAGTTGAAGTGGTGGAACAGATAGTTTTTTTATAGCTGTACCTGAACTACAGGGGGAAATTGCAGAACTTTCTGAGTAACTACAGTCTGCAAGTAAAAAAAGAAAACCCATACAATTTTATATAAAAGAGAATTAACATATATTTCATCAACGAACATTTTAGACAGCTGCTCAACTCTCCTTTAAATTAGTGCAGTTAATTCTTGCTATATTTAACTGTCCATATAACATAAATTGTTTTAGCTAAATTAGAGTGTCACGTTTTACATTCAGTTTTCACAGAAAAATAAAAACGTATAGGTACCAAACTCCTAGAATCTGGAATGATGTTTGTCTCTGAAAAACATAAGTCTTCTTCAAAGCATTTCAATCAATGCAAATTCTTTTTTTACATGATGAAATAATTTATTGGATTAAATTCATCATACATTTTACTGGATTATATAATACAGACTTTGATTTTACATTAGTAAAACATTATTATAATCTGAGGTCATCACTTCCAAGAGACTTAAAACACGAGTCCAAAAGTTCATCTGTTACTTCTTCAAGAACAGCTGGCTTCCATTTAGGGGAATGGTCTTTGTTGATAAGTACTAGTAGAGAGAAAATGTTTTCAGTTATGCTATTTCTTAATAATCATATTAGAAAGATCATTTTATATTATTCTTAGCATATATGAAAGATAAACCATTGTAGAGATCAGTACGTTATGTATGATTTATGTATTTTCTATTGAAGATAGAACTGATTCATTCGATTTTTTGAATAGAAAAGTAACTTATATTCCCATCTCCTGAAAACAGAATGACTGAGAATCCAACATTAAAGCATTGATTTATTTAATTGGGGGTGGGGGGTTGTGCCAGCCCAGTAGAGGCATTTTATTATTTGTATTCCTCTAATGAATTTCTGTCAGAAAGAGCAGTAATAATAAATGATTATCTTTTTAAGCCAAACACTGACAAATTATTTAATATAAAATATTCAATCTCAAATCAATCTCAGTGGTGGGTTAGTCTTTATATCACCCTCTCACTGCATGTCCTTACCTCCAATGGCTCCATGTTTGGATTGAGGGGTTTCCACCAAACCCTCTGCACTGGGGTCCCCTCTCCAGCTATAATGCACTGAGATGTTTCAACGAACTCAAAACTCCTCATACCCTGGAAGGCGCACTGAGCCTTCTAAAAGACTCTCCATAGCTAGGCTATGGAAGTTATACTCGACAATTATATGACAGTCAAAATATGCTTCTGTTTGGTATCTTCTGTTATAGATTTTGCCTGGAACAATCTTACAACCTCACAAACCACAACAGACTGTTATTTTTCTTAGAGCAGCTCAGTTTTGCATACTGCTACCCATTCTGCCACTAAGCGAAATAGGAATAAATCTGCTTTATGTTCCGAATAACTATTAACTATTTTTATTATTTTAATTAATTGTCTTATTTTTATTAAATTATTTTAGTTTTATTAATTTTAACTAATTTTAGTTAATTATTTTATTTTCTACTATCATCTTTATTACTTAATATTACAAAAATTGTCCCAAATAAAAAGGTCACAAGATAATATATTTTCCAAGTATCCTAGAGAAATATTGTGTCCAAAGAGCATGTCTTAAACTGTCCCCGCCACCAGTAACATCTAATAGTTTCTGAACAATCTCACTAGGTCTGCGTTGTAATTCACTTGAAATGGACACTCTGGCTTCAAATTTTACCTGCTCGGACACCTTCAAAGAAGTCATGGCCTTGCTGTAAGATAAAAGAAGTAATTAGGTAATTTCCTAGTATATTTTGAAATATAATTTTCTTTCTATATTTTGTTCCCGTAGCACTTTTTCACAAGAAAAATATCTTCCAGTAGAAAAGAATATCTGCAGCTCAGGGTTGAATTGTTGGAGTCCTGGATGTTCTCTGGGGTTAGTTGTTTGCTTGTAGATGTTTCATTAGATGTTGCTTTGTTGGGTAATGAAATGTCTGTGGGCAAACAACCAAGCTCAGAGAACATCAAGAACTCCACACACAAAAATATCTTATCTAATGGCCACTTTTTTATATTGATTTTCAGTCTGGTAACATTTTTAGCTTGCGTCTTTGAGCTTCTGGGATGAGAGTGTGAGATTTTGCACAGGATCAATAGGAGAGTTTTTTGGTATAAAGATTACAACTTGAAAATAAGCCATTGATGGTTTTTCACTGTTGATCTCTGAGCTTCACATACAGAACATGAGTGAACAGCAAAGCTCACTTACTGGTGATGGATAGCCAAGTCAGTGAAGAACTGATGGCATGTGCACCTTTCAAATGAAATTATCTCACAGAGTGCATTCCAGATGATAATACTAGAAGTTCATCTGGCAGTATGACAAATAGCACGAAGTGACTATAATGGACATTGCATCACCCCTGCAGAATGAATCTTCACTGAGTATAGTGATGGAAGTTGTATTAATATGTAAACTAGATGAGCCCGTTGGTGTAGTGGTTAAAATATCAAGTTAAAAACACGGAGGCTGTAAGTTCCTAGTCCTGCTTTACAAAGAAAGCCAACCTCATATACAAAGCCAGAGCCAGGTGACCTTGGGCATTCTCTCTCTCACGCCTAAGAAGGAACTAACAGCAAATCATTTCCAAAAGACCTGTCAAAAAATTGCAGGGACTAGTCCAGGCAATCACCAGGAATCAAAAACTGACTTGAAGGCACAACAACGTGAATGTTCTCTATCAACAAATGGGAGACAGAGGAAGGAGAAAATAGTTTTTTCTTTGCCTGTAACATAGCAACATCTTTTGAATTTCTTGAAAGAACTAAGTTGTTCTGACCCAGCTCCCCAAACACCTCTCAAGTTAACTCAAAGATACCTTTATTAAGAGTGCCAGCAGCCCGGGCAAAAAGTTTCTCTCTCATCGCAAGCTAACAAGTCCGGCCGGAAGATGAATAGATGTCTGCCACATCTGTTCATCTCCACCTCCTGCCTTTTATTCCCAGAGCTAGGGTGGGGTTTCACTATCAGTGGTGGCTCTTCCTTTCCAAGGATTGGCCCACAGATTTCCACTGTTCTCCTTTCCTCTACCTTCTGCGCATCCGTGCATCAGGCACTGGACCCAGCTGTTCCTCCTCTTCATCAGCCACCTCCAGACCTGGGGGCTGTTGACTTTCCATCTGAGGGCTGGCAGCTGGTCCAGGTTCTACCTCTGTGTCTATCTCTGCCAGCTCCATTCCCTCTTCTCTCTCAGAGCTCTCAGGTTGCCTTGATGCTGGCCCTGACTCCCACGCCTCCTTGTCCTCTGATTTGGCTGCTGGAGGGGCTGGCGGCCAACAGGCTACAACACAAGTATAGTCAATATGGAATGCTCAACAAACTTTCAGAATTATAGTGTAGTTTTGTGTGAGGTGGGGGAACCGGGAAAAATGGGTAGCAATGTTTTGATTGAACTAGAAACTCAACATTACTTCAGGAAAAAACGCACATGCATTCTTATCTGAGTGGAACACAGTTTATGAAAGATACGTAAAATTGGGTCATCCTGTAGTATATCCGCTTTGTTATGTTGATGAAATAACCAGAAGCAAGGACACTTTCCAAGGTACAATGTACGGTTGTTAATCCCACAAAAGGTTTGTTCATCAACACTTGACAAATCATAAGGACTTCAATGAAGTAACAATGGCAATCCAGGTTGTTTTAGATCTTGAATTAATCTTTTTAAGCTCTTTTATACATTTTTGGGAAGGGGTGAGAAAAGAGATTTCTCCTTCAAAAGCCACAGAAAGTTGTAGCTGCCAAAAAATAAAGCTTAAGTGAAAGAATACAAACTCCTGGGGGAAAAACGAAGTAGAGAAAGTACACCATTCAGCTTAATGTCTTTTCCCACAGCCCACAAGACAGTAGCAACGTCAAACACCAATCTGCCAAATGGATTTCAAATGTGGAGATACATGGAGATATATGTGACTAAAGTGTGATTGATATGGACCCTTCACATCTTGGCTATCATCCTCTTTATTAAAGTTAATATGAAACAATGCTGAACACAGCCAGTAAAGAACAAGAAGCCCTGTAACTTGTGCTGCAAGGATAAAATGCTAACATTTAAAATCAATGGTATAAAACACAATTTCTAAGAATTTGGAGGTCAGGCACAAAAGGAAAGCTAATTCCCATTTAGGAACAGTAAACTAGAAGAAAAAAAAATCTGTTATTATGGTATAATGGAGTTTGTCTACCTTTAGCTAAAGGGTTTGCCCCTTGTCTTAATATGTTCACAGACAACAGTGTACAAAAATAGAATGGAATAGATAACAGAATTCCTGTTTGTATTCTTAGTGGACTGTAGGAAATACCAGCAGTCCTGTAAGCCATACTTAGGGACATAAAAATATACTTGGCTCAGAAAGTGCCAAAATGCAACACGTCTTACCATGCATGCTTGACTCAATCTATATTCCATTGTAAATACATCTTGCAGGTTCAAAGAAGCTCCCTCTTTAAGTTGACGGAAAGTTATCTTGAGTGAAGTTGGGGACATTTTAGCAATTGTCTGCAGAGGGGGGTAAAACAGCTGATGTGTGAATGTTTGATTCCAAAGAAGAAAAACCACATTACAATTTCAGGTCAAAAGATAAAGTAACAAGTAAATTAACCATACAAGATAAAGATCCTAATAAAATTGAAAGTCCTGAAAAACATACATTCAAACAATAGGTTTCAATCATGAAATGAATACTCTTTACTTTATCCTCATCTAAAGTTCTTTGGTGTATTATTTTTCTCATAACAGATTTATAATATTGTAATTCTTCTCATAACTTTTGGCTCAGCCAAATAAGACAAAGCTATATTATGATGGCATACAGAAGGAATATTACAAAAGAAATAACACATCTGCAGTTGATTCTTAAATAAGCTGCTTAAGTTAATGGAGCTCTCGAAACATGTACATGGACAGAACTAGTCACGTTCCATGTGCTATTTATCATCCTCCGTACATAAACATGGATTATTAGATGCAGCTTCCTCAATTTCAGTGTCCATAGTGGACCTTTCTCGTGACCAAGTGATCTGATGAAATATGAATGGTTGTGTGTGAAGTTGAGCTAGTCAGAAACCTGGCTGTTGGTAGTTAGAGACAATTATTTTACAGTGACTATTGTAAAATGGGTACTAGTAAAGAGGGGAACAGAGGAAAAATTGGCCTGATGAGCACTCCCTTATGATGCCAAAGTTCAATCCTGCTTCTTTTACTTCTCTCAACCTCTAAATGAAATTCTTGGGAGACATCATCAGTATAACTTAGGTCATTGTTGAAGTGAGAGTTATCAGACACAGGTTATCGGACACAGGCTATGTCTGCAAGAAAACAAGCAAGCTTAGAGAGCACTAAGGACCCGCCAACCTTATCACTATACAGTTAAGATTACTGTGATAGTAAAGTAGCTGCAAAGTACTTTTACACTGTGCGGCCTTTGAAGACAATTCAGAAATGGCATTTGGTACAAAATGCAGTAGCCCATTTATGGACAAATAAGAATGACTGTAGCCACAAAACACTTGTGCTAAGGTCATGGATTAGCTTCCAGTGGCAATGTCTTTGAAAGTTTTAGCTTACAAAGTCTTACATGTCAAAGTCTTGGTGTTAATCTATAAAGCCTTATATGGCTTGGTACCCAGATATCACAAGGGTCACTCCTTCCAAAAGGAATGGCATATTCCTCCCATTCTACTTTATTAGTAGTTCCCCATTTCTGATGGGTGGGAGAGACAGAGTTGAAAACAGGCCCTTTCTGTAATGCTACCGAATGGTCTCCTCATTGAGTTGAAGCTAGCAGACATGCTGACAGCATTTTAGAAAATAGTTAGAACATTTATTCTTCTGAAGAGCTTTTGGAGAACAATAAGGTTGGGGCAGTCTGTAATTTCCCTTTTGTGGGACTCACTCTTAGTGACATGCTTTTAAGTAATCATACTACATTGATACATTTTAATGTTTTTTATAATTTTAATTACTGGGAGTATTTGCCAATTATGGAAGTATATAAAATAGATACTGTGTACATATAAACCTAATGCTCTCTGGGTACCAATGGCATTAAAAGATCTGTGTGAAACACCGTACTTAGTTACGATGCATTAATGAAAAGGAATGCATCTCTGTACAAAGGGTCAATGTACAACTATTTTAAAAAACAGTCTTCTTTAAAGAACGAACGAGAGTTGTAGTAACTGATGTAAAAAGGTTCATATAATAACATGGAGAGGACCAAGAAAGACTTGTCAGGAGACTACTGGATAATAATGAATTAAAATATTTAACCAGCGGACTAGAGAGAAGACAAGCAGCATCGGCAGAACATTAGAATGAGGAAATGGCTGCCTTCCTCTGGATTGCAAATCTCACTATCCCAATTAGTATGGTTGAAGGGGAACTGATGATGTTCAGAGTTATGATGGTAATCAAAAAGGAACTCTGTGACCAGTCCTCACATTTACAATGTTTGTAAATCTGTGAAGCAAAGGAAATCTGAAATAAGATTGCAAGCAAAGTCTCGACTGATTTGTTTAGTAAATATGTTCCTAGTCCCAACTGCAGTTGCTAACAAGGGGAACTGCAACTGGCAACTCCGACGCTAAGCGATGTGATCATAAAGCACAATCTCATATGACTACTGACTTACAACAGCTGTTGCAGCCATTCTGGTTTCCACCAATAAGCAAATGGTAATGATCACCATTTGTAACCTCCTGTCAGCTTTTCTGCTAGCTTTCCTCGTCAGAAGCCAACAATGAAGGTTACAAATAATTATTGCATGACTGCAGGATCTACAACCATCGTAATTGCAAACCAACTGTCAAGCACCAAAATTGTGATCACAACCATGGGGACATTGCAATGTCCACATTTAAAAGGAATGGTCTTAAGTGTCTTTATTCAATGTTATATAACTTTGAAGGATTGCTGAACATGTGATAATTAAACAAGTACTACATGGAAATATGGATATACCACTATACCAGAGCCCAGGTACTCCACAAGTGGGAAGATCCAGGTTTTAACCTACCCTGAACCATGGAAAGTCACTCTGCTTCAGCACAACCTATATCATAGAGTTGTTACAGGGAAAAGAAGAGGAAATATAGTGTACACTACCTTGAGCTCCTGAATGAAAGACTGACCGTAAATCAAATAAAGAAATAATGTGTTTCAACAAGTTGAAGCAGGAAAGGCTGTTTAGGAAGATAAGTTTGATTTTATGTATCTGTAGGCTTCTGGATAAAATATTTAAAGCACTATTATTTGTTATTAAAATGGGCAATATTTGCTTCAAGAAGTTTGCCTGGTGTTTGTTGATGGCCCTAGAGTCATCAAGAAGTGAAAGATGGAATTGTTTTATTTGCACTCTTTGCTTCAGTTGGAGCCAATTTTTGAGGCACATTCTTTTTTAAAAGACAGGAATGAAATCAAAACTTATTTAGCTGAGGGGGACTGAAGAAAATCTGTCCTTGGGTAAGGTGATATACAACTTCCTTTCTTGAAGGAGGGGTCTTCTTGGGTCTAGAATGGCCATCTGTCTACTGCCAGATAAGGTCTATGTAAGTTTTCCATAAAATATAGATACAGAAGCTTCAACAATTATAGAATGTTGTTATAACATTCCATCTTGAAGCTAGTTGTGCTCATCAGGCAAAGGAACAGGTTTACCAATTGCTGTTCTTTTTATAAAAACATTAAAACTACTAACCCATTGGAACAAGTGGCAGGTTTCCAACGTTCAACTATTTTTCTGCTCCTGATTACTGAGTTTTCCTGGGTTTTTTTTCCCCAGATGTCAGCTGATAAAAGCAGTGACCCATTTTGCTTAGGCCTTTAGATCTGCTAATATGCAGTTGCTGGGCAGATCCTGCAAGCACAAGCAGGATAGTTTTATACCTCTGGTTTTTGAATTCATGAGTCACTACCAGCTGGCTTAACAGGGAAGCAATGAGAGGACAAATATTCCTCTGCAAAATAGCAAAACAAAGCAAAGCTCACACATACACAAAACCCCAAACAGACCAGCTTATTAATAGCATCTACTTTCATCCTTAATGTTCCAGTTCCTTTATTTTTCTCTACAGTCAGGAGCTCATTAAAAAGGGATAATTTAATACTGAACTATCCTTTCAATGAGAGACGTCTGCAGAGGATACACACCATTTATCCATTTTATCTGAAGAATCCAAGCTCTTGTCACTTATAATGCATGAAATCCGTGGCATTTTGCCCTCTGTACCCATCACTGAACTAATGTAGACGCAACTTTATTTGAAGCAATAATCAGAACGAACTTAACTGAGTTTGGCTGAAACCTGAAGCCTACTCATAACATGGAATAGAGTGGAAATCCTGAAAAACTGCAATGCATACTAAAATACAGGTAGTCCTCAACTTACAACAGTTCGTTTAGTGACCAAAGTTACAACGGTACTGACAAAAGTGATTTATTTTCATGCTGAAGACCGTGCAGCATCCCTATGGTCATGTGATTTACATTGGATGCTTGACAACTGATTCATATTTATGATGACTGCATTGTCCCATGGGTCATGCAATTCCCCTTTGTGACTTTCTGACAAGCAAAGTCAATGGGGAAGCCAGATTCATTTAACAACCATGTTACTGAAATAACCATGTTACTTTTTTCAGTGGTGAAAAAAGTAAGGATCTACATTTAGGCAAGAAAAATCAAATGCACAGGTACAGTATATGTGGTACCCTGCTCAATAGTAGTAACTGTGAGAGGGATCTCGGAGTCCTAGTGGACAACCATTAAAATACGAGCCAGCACTGTGCAGCAGCTGCCAAAAAAGCCAACATAGTTCTAGGCTGCATAAACAGAGGGATAGAATCAAGATCACATGAAGTGTTAATACCACTTTATAATGCCTTGGTAAGGCCACACTCAGAATACTGCATCCTGTTTTGGTCGCCACGATGTAAAAAAAAGATGTTGAGATTCTAGAAAGAGTGCAGAGAAAATCAACAAAGATGATTAGGGGATTGGAGGCTAAAGCATATAAAGAACGGTTGCTGGAACTGGGTATGTCTAGTCTGATCAAAAGAAGGACTAGGGGAGACATGATAGCAGTGATCTGATATCTCAGGGGCTGCCACAAAGAAGAGGGAGTCAAGCTATCCTCCAAAGCACCTGAGGGAAGGACAAGAAGCAATGAATGGAAACTAATCAAGGGGAGAAGCAACCTAGAACTAAGGAGAAATTTCCTGACAGTTAGAACAATTAATCAGTGGAACAACTTGCCTCCAGAAGTTGTGAATGCTCCAACACTGGAAGTTTTAAAAAAGATGTTGGATAACCATTTGTCTGAAGTGGTTTAGGGTTTCCTACCTAGGCAGGGGGTTGGACTAGAAAACCTCTAAGGTCCCTTCCAACTCTTCTCTTCTCTTCTATTCTACTAATTTAACAACTGCAGTGATTTTCTTAACAGACTTGGCAAGAAAAGTCGTAAAATGGGACACAACTCACTTTAACAAATTTCTCACTT